TTTTCTAAAATGTTAAGAAGATAGATTGTGATCTACAAGTCTTTCTAATATTGCTATATTAATGAGTAATTATTTTTTTAATTAATTTAATATATTTATCAAATAACATGTAAATTTAATTTTTTTGAAATTAGAATTTTAATAAGAAACGTGATGTCAACAATGTTACACGTGGATATTGTATGTGGATAATGACAAGGCATGGTAACCCGATAACCTATGACATGCCATTTTAGTTCAAATAAAAAAGATTATTTATTACTATAATAAGTAAATTTTTAAAAGTAAATGCTTTAATAAAAATAATTTACAAGTACGTCATAGTAATTAAAAAAAACAATAATATAATAATTTTTTTTATAAAAATAGATTATTATTTGTTAGAATTAACCCTTGTAACAAACAGTTTTATGAAAAATAAGGGTCATGATGTGGCCTCAGAGCCTAGATGAAACTTAATAGTTAAAATTAATTATATTGAAACTAATATTACTTAATAATTTATAATCAATATCAATTAATAATTAATATTTATTAATAATTAATATAAGAAATAACAATTAATATTCATACCATATATATTATTTTAAAAATCTTACAAAATAAAAAAAAATCTTAAAAAAACAAAACAACACAAGAAATTCACTTAAATAGAATTATTCTTAAAATTTATTTGGTTTTAGAATAAGGGTGCTCAAAAAACCGATCAAACCGGCTAAACCAAAAAAATTCTACGTGAGGTAAAACGATACATGCCTGATTGATACAAAGTTAAACCAAATCACATCTATTGGGTTGGAATTGGATTAGGGTCATTTGAACCCAACCCGATGAACCGGATGCCTTTCTGCACTATGAAGATTATTAAATCGTTGATTAATATATATAGTTTAGACATTAAACCAACTCATGATTATCTATATTCAAAATTATATTACAATTTCAACCGTAATTTTATTTTCTTATTTGCATCAACCATCACCTTAATTTTGAGTTTGTTAGTCTTTTTATATGTTATTATTTTGATTTTACTTCTAAACACTTTACGCTTAACTAGATTGTAAAATGATGTATCAAAGTTTCAATTCGACCAATCCATCCCGCATGGTTTGGGTTGGGTTGTAGATTGTTTGGATTGGTTGGGTCGAGATTTTTCAAACCGCAAACATTGGTTGGGTTTGCTTGTTAAAATGTCTTCAACCCAACCTATATGCAACCCTATTTGACCGAATGTTTTGAAAGATTTGGATTTCGTAAAAGGATTTGGAAGTGAAAAAATTGATGTGTTTGATTTATAGGATTTATAATGGAATTGAATTTCATTATTTATAGACATTTTATATAAAAAAAAGTTACAAAAATAATTACATTATCTTTTCAATTGATTAATATAAAACAAATATTTTAAACATATTTTGGCACATTTTTTACAAGCAAATCTTATAAAATCTCATGGAATACCAACTACCTTATAAGATTTCTAAATCCAATATTTTTGGGATTAAAATAAAACTCAATTCTAAATCCCTCCAAATTCTGCAAACCTTTGGACCTTCTAACCTTCAGAATTGATTACATTATTGATAGTCACAGACATGAAAGCAGCAGATAAATTTTCTGTCTTGGACTTTAAGATCAACTAAATGTTTATTCTCAAGCATTTCCTGAGGAAACTACTGTTGATTGCCAAGAAAATGCTTCAAGATTCATGAAACTACTGTTGATTGCTAACAAAATGCTTCAAGATTAATGCCCATGAAATTGTTCAACTTTGTATTTGAAACTAGGCAAATTTTAGGCACTTCAACCCGGGATTTCGATCAGGTCTTTTGACGTCTTCCTACGTCAAAGTGCATATCCAAGAGCCCAGTTATGCCAGCTTCTATCTTCTGACCAACTTTAACTGGCCCAACACCCTTTGGGGTTCCTGCACAAGATTAAGTTGCAAATCATATTTTTATTAATAGGCAAAATTAAGACAAGCCGGTCATTTACTGTAACCCTTGGCAAATATCGACATTTTCTGAAAGAAACCAACCTGTTAGTATGACATCGCCTTCAAGAAGTGTCATCATTGAGCTAATATAACTGATCAGAAACGGGATCTTAAACATCATATCTGCTGTTGACCCTTTTTGCCGTATTTCTCCATCTACCTGAGGGGTAAAACATTGGTGTAGATAATATGACACATAAAATTTAGGCCTACATTCAGCGAGATAGAGTCAATTGGGTTGGTCAAAAGCGGCAGCAATGGTAAATTCCTGGTTAACAAATTAAGTTAACTTCAAGAGGATGAAACTCAACCTGTCAGATACAAAGCATAATAACACTTGCGGCCGGCAAGGGGTCACAGCTACTGGGTTCTAGTGACTATCTTTCGTGTCTAGAATCAGGGCTTGAAAAAGGTAGATATATATATATATATATAGGGGCCTAATCAAATGAGAACTAATTAGTTTGTGGTAACTGTGAGAACCAATATTAACCATAAATCAATAGATAAATTAGGAAATTTATAATTTTGGCAATTTTGAATTAAAATCTTAATGCAAGGATATTTTTGGTATTTTAAAACTTTCCTCCCTCCTCTCTTCTCTCTCCGGCCACCGTCCGCCAGCCCCCGTCCTC